CCCATATCTGGGGGGGACTACCTACCCACCTAAACCTGTGACCTATTAAATTGCTTTATCTCCTTATAGACTTAAAAGTAGAGATTGAGAACATAAATTGGTAACTTTCATTTTAAATCTACTTCTTATTAAACTGAATTCTTTTTGCACCCAGTGGAATCGCCCACTGCTGGTAATTTGAGAGAGTACAAGTTTCAGGCACTCTTTCTAAATGTTGAACCCATTGAACTGCATTTAGAAGTGACGAAAACATTACAGCATCTTTTGTTAGTAAAAGGAAATGCCCCCCCCCCAAAAAAAAATAAAAAAATATATATATATATCATCAGGCTTTGCACTGTCTAACTAAAAGATCAAGAGATTGTAGTGTTTTTCTATTATTTGCATTAATATCAATTATCAACTATACTTTAGGATATAGGAGTTGAAATATAAACTCCTGTTGAGAACCAAGGTAACTTCTAATCAAAGCCCAATCCTATCAACACATTTGACATTTCTTTCTATCGCAGACCTTTTATTGTGAACTAAAGCAGCAGGAAGTAACCTTTGAGCAAGATCAGTATGAAAGGGGATTAGTATTGACAGCAGATACTTTTGAATGCATGGCCGTGGGAGAAATGTTGCATGTAACAACTCGGCAGGAGCCCATCTCCATCGAACACCAATGTGAACACATTAGCTTGGGAGAGGATGAAAAGAGTAATTGAGCAAGTGGACATTGCGACCACTTCCCTCATGGAGATGTGGACTTAATTTCAACCAGAGGGGGAAGCAGGCAGTGAAAATGGCAGAGGAAAAGTAAGAAGACAAGTCAGTGTCCGATACCATTATCTGTAGCCGCTGTGTTATACAAGTTGTAAAGTGAAGGACAGTGAAGCTGTCACACCAGAAATTAGTCATTCATTCAAATGTAAACTCTCAAATGCACTTTTCATCCACAGCACCAGCAGCTTCTGTATTGATAACAACTGTGTAGATATGCACATTACAAACAATCTCTCTGTTCCCATGTGCCCCTCAGTCTCTCTGAGTGTGATTCTTGTGGATTGATGTTGCCTTTAAGGATTCAGTTGGCTCATTCATAAATAATACAAAAATTTGATAAAAGCACAGAATGGAGATCGGGTTCTGTGAATAACAGAATGTAAAAGACGTCTCGAAGCGATGATGTTGTCAGACTACTGTCATTTCACTTTCTACCCCTGTATGTTGCCTGAAGAAACAGTGTGTTGACCTCTATGGTGATGACGTATATAACAGTGGACAACAAGACAGCCGCCCAAAAGTGATACCAAATAATCTTGATCACCCCCTGGTGGCTGGCTGTCGTAATCCCACCTTGAAGGACAAATAATGTATCTTGTATAGTCTTGTGCCACGGTGTATTGTATCATATAGTCTTGTACCATAACGTATCATATTGAATTGCATCATATCGTACAGTACCATACCCCATCTCCTCAATGTTAGTGGATAGGACATGGAAAGAACTGAAAAGTAAAAATACACATCAAATAATTTTTTCTCAAAGAAGGTTTCTGTCATTTTAGGTAGTTCTTATCACACTTTGTTCAACTGCTAAGTTTTACGGTAAGCTTGGTTTTAATCAGTTATCTGATGTTATGAAAACAAGGTGAAACATCGTAATAATCAGTTGAGACTGACTCTCTTTTGTCTCAGCACGTGTATCAGTGGGACCTCACTACCACAGCTCCACACCATAAACACTAATGCACACACTCAGACTCCAGATGACATCAAAAGCGCAAGATGGCGGCACCCGTGATATTTTAGCTTCATTTTTGTACAACGCGAGGAAGTTGAGACGTGTCATCCATCTTTATATACAGTCTATGGTGTGGCCCTAACAGTACAGACATGATGTACGTGTTAATAATCAACAATAGAAGGGACATTATCCATAATCACTTCACCCTGACTACACACAGCCACACTGAAGGACATGTTAGTCTATTTTATGTTATTTTCTTTTATAACTGATACCAAATAATTTCTTTCATTTTTGTATTCCTCAGTTGATTTACTTTGTATTTATCATTTGCCTTGTGGGGCAGATTAAACTGTCTCGCAAGTAACATACAGCCTGGAGGCCTGAATGTCCTCACCCCTGCATTAGTGCAAGAGATTAACTCTATTTAACTGACTGACAGTTTGTATACTCATTTTAGCATGAATGCCAACACACAATTCCAAATCTGAACAATCCAGCATAATGAACACTGCTGCTGGCATTTACTGTAACATTAATTTACATACAAAGCTGATTCCCAGTCGTGCAGTCATTCTTAAGGCTTTTGATTGTACATTTGGTGGGAGTACAGAGTTATTTTAATTGTGGGCAGTGGGTGATGTGAGTCAGAAGCAATTTATAGGATCAAATTTGTTATAATCCAGCTGTCTAATATCTGGCACCCACCAGTTCTGCCAAAGTGCCTGCAGCAAGGCACCAAACTTCCACCAGCTCTAGGGATTTACAGACCCTCCTCATAAACCTCCCTTCAGAAATCAATAGGTCAAAGTCACATCGCGTGTGTGTGTCTGACGAGGATAATACGAACGAAGTTCTAAGATGAGAGCAGAGTTTTCTTACACAACATTTTCTGAAGAAAAGTTTTGCTGAGCTTTAGCAGCTTTAGCAGCTTTATCCTGTTTTCCTTTTATTTTGTTACACTGATTTTACAAAGCCCACTACCATGCAGCCTACTCTTAGAGTCTAATCTGACACGATCACACAGCAAAAACTTAACACATCCTTGCTTGTCATGCACCATTACCTATGGTTGGTCATCTATGTCATGTGATTGGTTCCAGCTCCAGTCGGCAGTGATTGAAATAAGACGAAACAAGAACATTCAAATTTGGCAAGACAGCAAGGTGGGAGAGCGCTTCTCAGTTTTTGGTGCTCTCGTGGAATCAAACATAACGCACCGGGGGAGGCAAACTCCTCTACTGGCAAGGAGAAAGGAATCAATCGCTTTTTTCCTGTGTTAAAAACCTGCGTACATCTGATCATTCTGGTGTAATAGAGGTACTAGGTGTACTCTCGGATATCTTATCTCTTCTCACTGCAACCTGCTGCTTCTCCATCTGGGATAGATAGTGTTCTGTATAGACTGTTTTTACTTTTGTTTGTGTCCTAAAGTCGAGTATGTGTTGTTGTGAATTAATGCAAAAGCCTGAAGGTGGGCATTACGTTGCCATGAAACACCAATGATGTCTTCTTTCCAGAACACACGACTTCCAGCGCTCAGGTCATGTCATATTCCAAAGACATAAGCTATAGCATCGCTTCTAGTTTAAACCTCGACCTTCATCTGTCACATTCAGCACACTGAGCTTCGGTGCATTAGCATCGGCTCACGCTCCTGCCTTCAGGCCATGTATATTGTATGAGTCTGTAACCTACATCTATCCATTCTTCTGTCAGCGGGGGTCTCCTGATGTGACAGGTGTAGTATGCAGGGTGTTACGGTGTCCAGGACTGTGATATGTTGTGTTTAGCCCATTTATTCTCCTGTCAAAAGGGATCAACATCCTACTGATGTGACTTTTTAACTCTTACAACCGCTTCCATGACGACATCCAGAGGCCCGGGGCTGCATGCTCTTTTAACATGCGCTCAAAATGTGTTAAGGGCGTAATATTACAACTATAATGGAGGTTTTATTAAGGTCTGATCAGGGTGGGTTTACACACTTCAAATATTTCAGGGTAGATGTGTTTAATTTACATCTAGCAAGCCCAATGTTGACTTTTGCAGAGGTGAATGGGAAGGCGTTCATGTTTACGTTTGTTAGCGTGGCACAATCAGTTACAGACATTTAAAGGAAAGGACAAACGCCATCATAAATAACTTTGCTATGCACCATATATAAATGACAGATTATTCAGTGAAGCTTGGTGGCACAGTGGTTCAATGGTTACCACTGTTGCCTCAAGAAGAAAGTGGAGTTCTTAGTGGAGCCCTCAATCTATGGACCATATGGTAAAACCTTCAGCTAACTGGGTACAGAGGAGTGTCATGATTGGCACACAGATAATAATGAGAAAGTGGAAAGCTGCATGTGGAGAGATGGATTTGCTGATTTGCAACAGAAATGAAAACAGACGCTCTAATATGGACACAATGTTGTCTATAGTTTCATACTGACTATTCGAGTAAGAAAAAATTGTCTTGGATTCTTTTGTTTTGTGTGTGTGGTGTTGATGTATTTGTTTCTTATATTTACTTCCCCCTCTATTTTAAGCTTGTTGGAGAGTGTTGTGTTTTTTATTGTTGAAATATGAAAAGCAATAAAACTCAAGTCTTACAAAAAAGAAGCCTCTTGGTTCTGTGGAGGTTACATGTTCTCCCTGTGTCTGTGTGGGTTTTCTTCGGGTACTCTGCCTGGATGGACGTCAGAATATAGGAAAAAAACTCTGAGCCATCACCTCCTAGGTTTTATCCAAATAACTGGCTTGTTTTCAGTTTGCATTTCTTGTGTAAACAACCAACCTGGTCTTGTCTTTTTTTAAAGTAAAAGGACAAAAGAAAAAAAGTCTTTATCATTTAGATGCTCTGAAAACAACAATGTTCTTCTTCTCCTTCCAGTTTAAACACTGAGAGGTAAAATACCAGATCTCAACAGGGCACACAGAGACGTATGTCCACTGTATTATCTATGCTCATCGAGTGTAATGCAATTGAATGCTGTTCTGGTATAATGTCTATTTTTTGTCTATAACGTGCTCATTTTTGTTGAGAATGACATAAACGTGGACTCAGCCTTGAGGTTTTAGTTCAGGTTGGTGTTGTTCTGTTCTGCGTTATCTTCAGTTAATGTCCAATATTTGCTGCTCTCATACATTTATATATGAAGGTTGAAATATTAGAAACACATCCCAATAAACAGTAATGTAGTCCAGTCAGTCCTGTCCTTAACCACACGTTTTTAGCTTTCTCTTTGACGTGTTTCTTCTTTCTCTCTGTGTCCCAGATCCTGATCGGGGAAGTGACCAGTTTCTTTGTGAAGACAGAGGGAGCTCAGGAGAAGACCATAGTGACCGCCGACTGTTGTTATTTCAACCCTCTCCTCCGCAGGATCGTACGTTTTCTAGGTCAGTCATTGTCCCAAAGGCTCATTCAGACTTACATCAGCACAAAAACAGCTCTTGTCCTTAGTTTTGGTTTAATTTCTTTTGCCTGTCCTGCTGATGTGATCTTTTCCATCATCTCCAGTATCCAAGTTATGAATCTCTTAAGTGATGGACTGAAGTTAAGAAACATAATAGCAAAGGCTGCATCTGTCTGGCCTTTCTCTCCCACACAGACAACAGTCAGTCTGACCATATCATTTCCATCTAACTGCTGGTCTCTGACTCTCACTTTTAAAAATGTACTTTACCACACACTCCGTCTCGCTCTTCTGCTCTCACAGGTGTCTACTCCTTCGGCCTCTTCACCACCACCATCTTTGCCAACGCTGGTCAAGTGGTGACAGGAAACCAGACGCCTCACTTCCTGTCTGCCTGCAGGCCAAACTACACAGCTCTGGGGTGCCAGTCTCCGCTGCAGTACATCACGGAGCGCCGAGCCTGCATGGGAAACCCGTACTTGGTGGCGTCCGCCCGCAAATCCTTCCCCTCCAAAGACGCAGCTCTCAGCTTTTACTCAGCCATCTACACAGTGGTAGGAAAATATGTAGGCGCGCTGGGAGAAGGGACACACAGAGTAACTGGAGGATAAGATGTTGTTGTGTGTTGATGATTGACTGTGAAATAACTGGAAAGTGCAGCATGCTTTTATTTTACTTCAACTTTACTAAAGGGGAATTTAGTAAAGTAAATTTGTATA